AGCAGGAGCCTGGAAACAGCCTGTAAACAGAGGTATTCTTGGAGCTCTGAATTCACATCTTGTCAAGGAAAAAATATATTGTGTTAATGAAATTGCAAAATCAAAGATAATTTTCAGTAGCCTCCATGCTCCTCAACTGCATGTAACTCTAAAAGGACTCAGTCCACTCAGTGAAGACAATTAGTCTATGAGCAGTTAGCTCTGTACTGTGTGGAAACCCCAGTGTTCAAACTTATTATGTGTGACATTCTCAGGCAGTTCAGCATTCTTACCTGTCCTGTACCTTGCAGAAAGACCAGAAGGATCCTATAGATGAGCTGTGGATTAAGAATATCAGAAGGAAAAATCTCTGGTGCAGGAGAATGAAACTCAAATTGTGTGATGGAAGAGTTGCTTAGATACTTCAGTGATGACAGAGGCACAGGGCCTTATATAGAAGTAGAAATGAAATAGAAATGGTTTTCCTGCAGTCATTCACACAGAATTCCTACCAGTGTGAACAGGAAATTTGCATTGCAGTCAGCAGTGAGATAGCACCTTATAGTTTTAGAAACTACATGAGGGAAAATGTAAGAGAAATTAGGGCTGGCTTGTGTAAAACCATCACAGCTGGAGGGATCTGGGCAGATGTCTGAAGGTTTGTTGATTTGGTTGAATGTAGCTGGAAAATAAGGTCAATTAAATTTCAGTACTGGGTTTGGTTTCCGGGTGTTTCTCTACACAGTGTGACAAAGGAGGTGGGGGAAGTTGGTTGGCTGGCCATCTTCAGCATTTTCTGCTCTTCCTGGTTTGTTTGTTAGACTCATCTCCTAACTGCTACATCTGGTCTTACGGAATCAGTGGTGGCAGGGCCCTCAGTTTCCTCATGGTTGAACATACTGCAGCATTACCAAATACATTACTTGCTACATTTTTCACTTCTCAGCTTCATGCAGCTTCTCCTCACTATGTGTTTCTGGGCCACAAAGAACAACTCCTTTCCATGCTCAGTGGTTATGTGCTTTAAGGCTTTGTGGACCTGGGTAGAGACAAGTAACTGAAAAGCAGTAGTTAAGTCCTTGAATCCAGTCTTTTGTTAGCACACTCTCTTTTGGCTTCATTATCATCATTACCATTGTTAGAATTCTTCTCTAGCACAGTGGTACCTTAGTGCCTCACCTCTGGGTGATGGAGCACCTGGTACCAGGCACTGAACAAAGAAGTCAGGTTGCCTTGAGTGGCAGACAGCCCGTGGTAATTCCTCTGTCTGTCTTTATTGTTCACATATCTTATGTGGATGTGGCCTGAAATCTTACATTAAAGCATTTTGTAAAGCACAAATATTGTTAGATTAGTCATTCCTACCATGTAACAAATAAGTACTTTTCCCAGTTTATTTTTTGCCTTATCTTTAGGAATGGCTTTGCTTTGTGCTTCACACAAGGCATGTATCCCATTCCACATGCCTTGATCTCCATTTCTTTGCACCTTCCCTGGTTAGATATGCCCTTGCAAAGAAGGTATAAAATGCCACTATTCTAACTTTTGCTGATAAGAGTGAAGGCCTGAGAGCTGGCAAAGATGTCTGATAGCAAATAACCAAGCCCTGCTCCTTTTCAGTCCTGTCCACCAGATTTCGTGCCTGATTCATTTGAAAATCTGAGCATAATAATGACTGTGTATTTCTTTCCTTCAGGAAAACAAAAAAAACAATCAAGGAAAACAGAAATAGCAATACCAAAGAAAAAAAAGACAAATGTCCCTCTGATCATACTGCTTGTAACTGGAATCATTGTGGGTATTGGTGTGATCTTTGTCGTCATCTTTCTGATTTTTTGCTGGTAGGTGGACAGCATACAATGTGATTTATGTTTGATTTGATCAAAATATGGTATTACCAATGCCAAACATGACCCGGGGTGAACTGTTTTAAGCCTCTCTGTGGTTTAATATTTGTGTTGCCACTAGAGAAAACGGGGGCGAGCTCCTAGAGATTGGAAAGAAGTACTTTGCAAAGCAGTTAGAGTGATTGTGGATGGGAGGGGAATGATCCAGAACAATTTGTATAAAACCTACTTAAAGGTAATGTTTTTGTTGAATTCTTTTTTTTTTTCCTTTTCATTTCAGGTTTGGAGCAAAATCTCCCCAGGGTTTAAAATTTAAGCAGGGCAACGAATACAGGAGGATGGTGGATAAAAGTTCACAGTATGACATGGAATAAATAGCCCCAACCTCAGGGTTTGCTTTGGCCTTTGGAGGAATTTGAGTCTTTGCACTGCACCTAAAGTGTTCTCACCATCTGTAAGAGCCAGAACACAAGAAGTGCCAGAGCCCTCATTCACAGAAGTAAAGAAATCCTTCCAGGACTTGCATAATGAACAGAATGACACACACACACAAAATAATAATTAAAAAAAAAAATAATTGGACTGCATGGAAACACAATACAAGGAAGATTAAAAAATGTTTGAAATACTGGTTTTAAGATGTGCTTTTTACTGTTCATTCATTGTGTTGGTTTACTGAATTTTTAGTGAAATGGGTAAAAATACTTCTGTTTTCAGGTGGACATACTTCGCTAGGTAGTTTAATGGTCTGAGCACTTCAGAACTGGACAACCAAAGCCAGATTTTGAGAGGATGTTGACAATGACATATTTAAAGTGTTCATTTTCATATAGTCATTAAATTGTTTTGGTTGGAAAAGACCTTTAAGATCAAGTCCAACTGTTGCCCTACCACACTGCCAAGTCCACCACTAAACCATGTCACTAGTTTCAAATCTATCTTGAATGGATTTATTTCCATGGTTTTGTTCAGTGTCCCCTTGTACCTGTGTAAGCTTCTGTCATATAAAACATCCTGTGTTGAGGAGATCCACAGCCCAACCACGTCCTGGGTCCAGTTTGAACTCACTTCCTGCTAGCTTCATTTGTCACACCTTACTTCATAGAATCATAGGATATGCTGATTTGGAAGGAACCCACCAGTTCATCGAGTCCCACTCCTGTCCCTGTGTAGGGCACCCCAGCATTTACACCATGTTCCGGAGAGCATCATCCAAATGCTTCCTGAACTCAGGCAGGCTTGGTGCTGTCACCACTTCCCTGGGGAGGATGTTCCAGGGTTCAGCCACCCTCTGGGTGAAAAACCTTTTCCTGATATCCAACCTAAACCTCCCCTGATTCACCTTCCTGCCATTTCCCAGTCCTGTCACTGGTCACAGGAGTGAAGAGATCAGGACCTGCCCATCTCTTCCCCCCCCTGAGGAAGCCACAGACCACAGTGAGATCACCCCTCAGCCTCCTCTTCTCCAAGCTGAATAATCCAAGTGACCTCAGCTGCTCCCCATAGGTCATCCCTTCCAGACCCTTCCCCATCCCTGTGACTCTCCTTTGGACATTCTCCAATGGCTTGAGGACTTTTTTATATGGTGGTGCCCAAACCTGCACGCAGTGCTCAAGGCGAGGCTGCACCAGTGCAGAAGAGGCACTGAGCTGTCAATCCATAAAATCCTCTCCCAGAAAGGGGCTGTCTTTTAGACCTCTAACATATTCCCTGGTTATTTCCTATCTGGACTGAAAAGGGCAAGGATACTTAATAATTCTTTGCCCTGAAACCACATCACACCTCTGACCATCCTTGCTGACCTTCTCCAACCCTCCTCCATTTCCCGACTATCTGGTTTATTAAGGTGCTTTCTGCTGGTGTAAATAAACGTTGTTTGATGCAGCAATAAAAGCTGTGCTGATGACATGTTGAAAAATGGACTGTGGATGGATTAAAATGTTTAATAGATTTTATGATTTGAGATTTTCTCCTGAGTATAGTAGAAGCTCTGAAAAGAGGCCAAATATTGAGCACTCCAGGGTAGAGAATGCTTCTCAGTAAAGAACATTGTGAAAAAATTGCAAAAAAAATAGATTGGAGGTAGTAACTCATCCTCTCAAAGAATTCCTGTTCTCTTCAGATCCTCTATTGCTGCAGATGTTCTAACTGTGCCATCTGCACATCCTTAAAAAAGCATTATCATATTTTTCAGAGATACATCATTTTGTTTGCTGTTGAGTGAAAAGACCATTTACATTTTTTTGGAAATAAAACAGATTCAAAAATGATGTGCACCTAATCCTGTAAAAATATTTTTTTTTTCAAAAAGGAAATTATATTTTTTGTAATGCTATCTTTAGTTATGTCATTTGATATCATTTGGAGGACAAGCCTAAAAGTCCTGCACCTGGGAAGGAACAGCAAAATGCCCCAGCACAGGCCAGGAGGTGATCTGCTAGAGAGCAGCTCCGTGGAGAAGGACCTTGGGGTCCTGGTAGACAACAATGTGCCCTTGTGGCCAAGAAGGCCAGTGGTATCTTGGGGTGCATTAAGAGGAGTGTCTGCAGGAGATCGAGGGAGGTTCTCCTCCCCAGCCCTGGCGAGACCTCACTTGGAGTGTTGCATCCAGTTCTGGGCTCCCCAGTTCAAGAGGGATGAGGATCTACTTGAGAGAGTCCAGCGGAGGCTACGAGGATGATTAAGGGACTGGAACACCTGCCTTATGAGGAAATGCTAAGAGACCTGGGGCTTTTCAGTCTAGAGAGGAGAAGACTGAGGGGGGATCTAATTAATGTCTATAAATACATGAGGGCTGGGCAGCAAGAAGGCAGGGACAACCTCTTTCACTTGTGCCCTGTGACAGGACAAGGGGCAATGGATTCAAATTCAAACACAGGAAGTTCCACCTCAACATGAGGAAGAACTTCTTTACTGTGAGGGCTACAGAGCACTGGAACAGGCTGTCCAGGGACATTGTGGAGTCTCCTTCTCTTGAGGCTTTCAAGACCTGACTGGATGCCTTTCTGAGTGATCTTTCCTGGTTTTTGGCCCTGCTCTGGCATTGGGGTTGGACTCCATGATCTTCGGAGGTCCCTTCCAACCCCAAACATTCTGTGATTCTGTGATTAAGGGGAAAATGCAAAGAGAGGGAAAAAGCAGACTCACAAATTTGCAGTTTACAGAAGTAGCTCACACGTTCAAGGTGAGTTTGGGATCCCATGCAACCAAAGACAGTGTATTGTGTTGAGTCTGGGATTAGGTCTGGAATGCTGGTCTTAAAAGTACACCAAACCCAATTGTTATTACTTAAGAAAATGTTTCTGCTGAAAAATAGGGTAAATATGAAGCCCTGCCATCAGCTCTGAGACTGGCTTTTGAACTCTTGCTTTGATGGTATTGGCAAAAAAAAATGGGTAAAAATTGGGGTGCAGCATAACTGAAAGAGGAAGAGAGGGAACTAGACTATTCTTTTAAATAATGATGCAAAGCTGTACCATTATACAACCATTTTGTATTTTAATAACATTTGCAAATAATCTCCAGTCTGATGTGGGTCAATATTTGGAAGGTTTTAAACTTCCACGGTCTGCTGGCAGGGAAAAGTAATGGATACATAGCAGAGTAGTGCAGAAGATTAATTTCAAAACAGCTGTACTAATCTGTACTGGTGAGTGTGGTGGTCCTTAGGGTAGATCAAGGCGGTTTTGTTCTTTATTGGCTTATATTTTTTAAGATATTATTATCTTCTGCCTTTTTCTCTTGCAACTCCTTAAAGCTGCCTACAAAATAGAAAAAAAACCCTCTGTAAAAACTGCAGCACAAAATACAGAGGAGTGCCTTGCTGCTCAAAGATAGGGTAAACAGGCTGCTTTGTTTCTGAAGCTGCAATCAGAAACTCCAAAAAGTGAAGAAATTCCTGAAGTTAAGATTACTCTGGCCAAGCAGCCATCACACAACCACTATATTATCATTCCCTGACCCTGAATATAAACTTGAATGAATTGCTTTTTGTAGTAGATGCAGTATAAAACACACGGGAAGAACAAAATTATTATCTTAGTACAACCCATAGCAATCTTCCCTGACTTTTGATCCCATCATCTGAATAATATACTTATTAGTTTGATAACAGGGTGGATAGCCAGGACAGATAAAGGACATCCAGAAATAAGTGTTTTAACTGAAGTATATCTGAAGACCATGTTGCAATCTGCTTGAACACTTCTGGCAAGAGTTATTCACCATCTAGGATATGTAATTATACTTGATGTAACTCCTTTTGTCTGCAGTGCCTGAGAAATGTAAAGGATGTTTTCAGTGTTACTTTCTGCTAGTGAGTTAAGAGAAACAACAAGAGTTTTCCATTTTCCACAATATTTCTATCTCCTCCTGCTTGCTGTCTGTAGTGGAAATATTATCTTTACTAATTACCCCAAGGTACAAAAGTATTCGTATTCTCAAAATCTTAAATTATTCTTATTCCTAGGCATGTGCCCAACTCCTGCTAAAGCCAGTGGTATTTAAGCTCTTGAAGTGAGAATTTGCATTTCTAAAGGGAAAAACACAGAAGAACTAGAAGAAGGGACAAAGTTCACATAAAAATATCTTCATGATCTCGAGGGTTTGTGCTGCCTACAAGAGCTTTTGGCCAATGCAGATTAGACATCCTCCCTAGTCTGTACAGATCTGTACAGAAATCCCAGTGCTCTGGGAGCCGGTAGATCTGCCCTCATTCAGACACCCTCCTACACCACACCATGGAGGGCCATCAAGCTCTGTTCATCTTCCAGGAAGCCCTTTTCACCTGCCTTTGCTGTACAGAGGACTTCTCCACTCCTGTCCTGTGTGGTCTGACAAGTGCCAAGTAGAGCAGGATGATGACTTCTTTGTCTCTGCTGCTGATGCCCATGTTGATGCAGCCCAGCATCCTGCTGGTTTCTTTGCTGCTGCAGCAGGACACTGTTCACTCATCATGAGCCTGTTATCTACCAAGACCCCCAGGTTCCTTTCCATAGGGCTGCTCTCCAGCCAGGTGGATCCCAGTCTGAGCTGCACTCCTGGGCTATGTGTTCCCAGCTGCAAGACCTTATATTTCTTTCTGTTGAACTTCATAAGGTTCCTGCTAGCCCACTCCTCCAGCCTGTCCAGGTCATCCTGGAGGGTGTCTGTCCCTTCCAGAGTGTCAGCCTCTCCACTCAACTTGGTGTCATCAGCAAACTTCATCAAGGTTCTCTTGATCCCAACATACTTGATCCCAGTATTGCTCACTGATGATTTACTAAGCTTTTTACTTAGCTGTATAGAAAACCTTTTGACTTGGAACTGGGTCACAGTACTAAGGCTGGAAAATTCGTTATGGTGAATTTTCAGGACAATGCTACTTTAACAGGAA